ATCTGGTTATAAGACAGATGCGTGGAGAGATTGAATGCAAAGCTTCAGGTTTATCCCCGTTGCGGGCCAAGGCGTTGAGTAAGCTCCAGTCGTGGCCCACCCATGCAGTCTTACATGTGAAACGAGACTGGAATCAGAGCGCAGACCAGTTGGCCAGTGCGGCTTTACATCAGCAGCAAGGGGTCGAGTCGATACCAAGAGACGAGTGGTCAGGTCTAGAAACAATCAATCGGCTGCCATAGGTGTTGGTCCCTAGAGACCGGGGTCCGTCGATCAGGGTATCTGCGGTGACGAGATCACGGTTCCCCGTTAAAATATCGGGAGAGGTCATGCAAGAAGATGTGGTACAACAACTCCGGATGGAAGGATCCGAGATGCGCAAGAAGAGGAGAGCTGGGTACGCGAGTTGAAGGCATATTTGAAGGGAGACTGGAAAGACTTGTCAGTGGAAGCGGCCAGAAACTGCAGCAAAATGTCGGAGGATTACGAGATAAGTGAAGAAGGACTGCTGGTGTACTTCCCCGGCCAGAGAATCAAGGGAGACGACCGAGACATAACTGCAAGATTGGTGATACCTGAGAGTCTCCAAGCCGACATCCTCCATCATTATCATACGAGTTTGGAGGGCGGCCATCAGGGAATCGGGCGTACTTATCATCGGATCCGACGATATTGTCATTGGAGGGGTCTGTTCCGGAGTGTTCAGAAATATGTGGGTCAGTGCATGGATTGTGAGACTGGGAAAGGGAGACCCACTGTACAAGGGAAGTCTCCGGGGAATGTTGAAGCGACGTACCCCTTCCAAATTATCGCGATGGACCACATACCATCTCTCCCTAAGTCACATAAAGGAAATACGGAACTACTGATCTGGGTCAACCTTATCACAGGTTATGTGATGGCTAAAGCAAGTGCGTCACGGACAGCTCAGACAGTAGCTGAGGGATATGAAGAATGCGTTTTCCGCCGTTTTAATGCCAGTGAGACGATCCGTCACGATCGGGAACCGGGGTTTATGTCGGACTTCTTCCGAGCGTTCAGTCGTATGGTGGGTCAACGTCAGAGAGCGACCATGGCCTACCGGCCTCAATCGAACGGCAATGCGGAGAGAATGGTCCAGACTCTAACAAGATCTCTCAAGATGTACGTAGCCGACGTGGGACAGCGAGAATAGGATGAATACGAGGAACGATTAACGTTCGCGTTAAACACGGCTCAAGACAGAGTACGGGAGGAAACACCGTTCTATCTGGTACATGGATGGGATGCTAGGACCACTCTTGAGACTATGTTACCGGTGGTGAACACTCGACGTCGAGAATCAGGACCTCGGAGATGGAGATATCGGATTCAGAGTCACTATCAGCGAGCAAGAGACCAAGTCAACGAGAATTTACGGGCGGCTAGTCAGGCTCGGGTGCAAGCACAAAATGAAGGGGTAGTCGGCCACAAAATTCAGCCAGGGGTCCGGGTATAGCTATATTTAGACCGAGTGAAGGAGGGGTATGCCAAGAAATTGGCCCACCTATGGCACGGACCGTTCCGATTCCAGGAGTTAGTTGGAGATCATGCGGTACGTCTGGAGTTACGAGGTACAGAATACAGACTATTCCCAATCGTGCACACCTTCAAGCTCAAGCCCGTCAGAGAGTTCCCCGATCGACCGAACAGCGAGCTGAAAGTGGATGGAACAGATCGAGTCGACTTCGATGAATGTCTGCTACCAGAAGACAGCTGGGTGCGGGAATTGGAAGAGGGCGAGTATGAAGTCGAAATTTTTTAGAGAGTCGTACAGGCAAGAAGACTCGGTATGGGAGGCAACAACGAGAATTCCTCGTGCAATGGAAGGGACACTTTGACCCCTCGTGGGTGGACGAGGTGGATCTGAATTGCGGAGCCTTACTCCGGGACTTCGAGCGCAAGAAGACAAGCCATAACCGCTTCGAAGTAATGCAAAGCCATGAAAACTAGCCGGCGGTAGCAAGTTTCTTGGAAGGTGGACCGAGTCCCTCAATGGTCGGCCCAGCCCCTCGTTGGAAGACTTGGGTCGCCTGCGGGGCGGCCTTGAACTTCCAAGAGTTAGGGATATAGGAGAATGTAGAACAAAGGAGGAAGATTACCAAGATCAACTAGAACCAGGGGAAGACATGGCTGGACAGACACGAGTTAGAGATGGATGAGCAACAAAGGGGACAGTAAAGGACCTAAGTGACGAAGGAAGTGAAGACATGCGCGTGCTCAATCCGTTGTACGGTTGAGCAAGTGCAGGGGGCGGCTGGGGTGAAGTGCTAATTTAGAGATGTGGAGGTCCCAGACTCCAGTTGGATTCGGAGCATAGACCGTGGGTCAGGGACAGGGGACCAGAGAGACAGGGGCCTCGAAGGGGAACGACCGTTGGTGGAGAACAATCCGCCGACGAAAATCAGTATCAGGATACCGGTTAACCGGTACCAAAGGGGGCCCCTTATTGATCGACCTGGCCCCTCGTTGGTAGATCCGGGTCCCTCATCGGTCGACCTGGGTCCCTCATTGGTCGACCCGGTCCCTCATTGGTAGACCTGGGTCCCTCATTGGTAGACCCGGTCCCTCGTTGGTCGACCCGGTCCCTCATTGGTAGACCTGGGTCCCTCATTGGTCGACCCGGCCCCTCATCAGTAAACCTGGGTCCCTCATTGGTCGACCCGGTCCATCGTTGGTCGACCTCGGCCCCTCGGGGTTCAGCCACTCCGGACCAACTAATACAAGGATCAGACCAGTCGACGCAAGGAATCAGAGCTTCAGGCAAGGATAGAGTAAAAGAGTCAAAAGGATAGGACTATACTAAATACTACTCAATTTGTGATCTACGTGGCACGACTCCGTCACCCAAGAAGGACTTGTTCTAAGTTACTCACTGTTCCGGGAAGGGATATATTTTGGCCCCCCGTCGAAGACAGTTGCGTAGCGAAGTTCAAGGGCGAATAGAGCTCCAGGATATATTTGGCCTGTGAGCTCGTTCGAGTAGCAACACCCCCCAAGACCCGCTATCGGAAGCGGTCTCCCTCACCTCAAGGTCCGGGAGCAACGTAAAGGTCAGGTGGTTAGTACCCCTGAAACAGAAGGAAAAGGCCAGGGACGACAAGCGCCCCTGAAGAATTTGGCTCTAAGTCCACTCTCGACAAGGTCGATCGAGTGGCCACCTACCGGCACACCGAGTGAAGCATATCCACTCGAGGCCCCCCAGGTCTACCTCCCTCAAGGCAGACATCTACATCGTCACCAAGTCCTCCGAAGAGTGCAACCCGCCAGCCTACGGGTACACAAGGTGAGAGAAGGTTCATACGCGGCATCGGGGTACCCCCTCCGACAGTCGGCAGTCCGGCACAGTGAGTGGTTTGGGGTCTCATCATACAATTTTGAGAACCCACTCCACCACACCACCTTATAGGTGACGTAGTCGTTTTCGTCGTATCTGCCCATGATAATATTGCTTTGCTTACGGGTTTGATTCTCTTGAGTTCAAATTTAAAATTTTAAAATGACACGTCCTTGGCTGGCAGAGGGGCAATCGGCTCTGAGAGCTTGCTGGAGAGGCTTCTGGAGATGTAGGTAAAAATGAGAATGAATTAATTAAACAGCCATAAGTCCTATCGTACTTAGCCTAACGTGCTGTCATAATCTGTCAACTGTGGTATGTCAGATATTATCTGTCATATCATGTCCATCTACCATCTGTCATACCAACTGGCATGTCATACTCCCCCCATGAAGCACTAGGCTTAGCACTTAGCACGGAAAGATGCGGCGAATGCTAACTCGTTCAGTTGATGCACCTTTGTCGATTGTGACGGTTCCATTGTTATGAACACTGCAGACTGAATATGGTCCTTGCGAAACGGCTGTAATTTTGCGCGAAAGTTTTTGGGAACACGGAGCATGATGTGATCGCCGGGGTTGTAAAAGTGTTCCGAGCGTTTGCGATTTTCGCGCGTGTTGTCTGCTAAGATCGCTTCGAATCGTCGCTTGGATAGATAGCTCCAATTAGCTTCGTATAGCCGACGTGATATCATGTCTTGTCCGAAGATAATCTGGCCTGGCGATGCATTTAGAACGCTGTGATAACTAGCACGCACATCAAAGGCAGCGTAGTGGATAGCTTTTTTCCAGTCAGCATCCTCATAGCAGCGAATAATGTTCAGGATCTCTAGATAAACCCGCTCACATATAGCATTTGCTTGAGGGTATTTGCCGTGATAGGTTTCGCCTTAATACCATAGCTGCGTAAAAGTCCTTGAAACTCTGCACCAGTAAATTCAGTACCTTGATCGTGGATGACTTTTCATGGTCTAGGATAACGACATAGCCACTCGCGATCGAAACTTTCTGCCGTTGTCAGTGACAACTTGTTTTCTTGGACACCCACTTCCAACCACCTTGTTCCCTGATCAATTATGGTAATCCCGTAGTATCCGTCGTCATAGGGCCCAATGAGATCAACATGAACCACATCAAATGGGTTAACGGTTTTTATAGTCCTTGGAGGTAGTAAACCATAGTCTTGTTTGCCACCATGCACTTTTGCACGCTTGCACACCAAGCATCTTTTAATATATACCACAATGGTCGCTTCCATGCTGGGCCAATATAAAATTTGGCGCATAGTCTTGTACAGACGTTCACTAGCTGGATGTCCGAGGCTAGTATGATACCAATGTACTAAGTCATCCCGGAGCGTGGATGGAATAATTACTCGTTTTTGGTATGTCACTAAATTACATCCAAGAAGTGGAACAATCTGATAATCCGGGTTGTCTAATTCGATAGCTTTATTAATATCTGGTCAGCTTACACAGCATGGAGCGCCACGATTTTGTTTCCGTGTGATCTCGCCATTAACCCACAAGAGGACAGCAACAAGCTATGTCTTCAATATAACCAACGTGTTACTTCTACTATTTCATTAGCGACAGCAAGATGCGAGACCCCTTCCGCAATGGTTCTTGTCTGAGATCATTTTTGCCTTACATCCTTATTCCGATCCGATCTCGAAAAACGTACGCGGACGCTATTGCCATGACGCCAACAGCTACAGTCGTGATAACGATAGAAGTCTACAGTACAACGTATTGAGATGAGCACGTCCGTAACAGTAAACAACACACTCGTGAATACTAAAATACGGTACCTGCCAGGGGCCCAGCATGCTGCCTGCTTTGTCTCTATTCGTGTGTAAAACAAATCACCGAACACAATCAGCAATGGATCGTTCACGACATGAACATTAGCTGACAAACCTCGATCGACGAGGAGGTAACGGCGGAACTTCCGTAAGCACAGGCGTGGTCACACTGGGCCAAGGCTGGTACTCAAAAGGATACGTGAAGTAGTACATGTGTGAGCTACAATCACAATACAATTCATGCCTTTCGTGTTAGTACTTCAGAAGCTGGACGCACCCAAGCCACCATTTCAACACTTGTAAAATCATACTCAGAGGCAAATTCAACTTTGCTTTGCTGACGGAGTCGTGCCGGTGGCAGTTGGTGAAACAATACAAGAGCACGTTCGATCACCTTCTCAATGTCCATCGAAAGCGGCAAATTCGAAAGCATTCCATGCATCGTGCCAAAGTCGCATTCGCATCGCAGTATTTTCTCTCTCGACTCGAGCAGAACCTGCAATGGCGTGTTAGCTGAGTATATTCAAGACGCACGGACAATAAATAAAAGAAAATCTCCGTAGTGACACTAGCACGTACCGATGCAGACACGTAGAGACTAAAAAGCGGGTGAGTCACGAGAAATACGTCATACAGTCGAGCAACATCTTCGAAGCGCTTAAGCTGATGCGCAAACCATGTGATCATCCATGGCAACGCAAAGAAAGGCTCCACCTAGAGACATATGTGCCCAAATTGGTTACCAGTGCTGTGGATATGGGTTTACCACCGAAAAAAACAATCACCGTACCTTCGACTCACGCAGATGCTGGAAAAGCAGCTCGTCCGCCGCATCCACCAATGGGAACAATAAACGCGTGGCCGCCATTACTTGCTCAAGTCCCGGCCGCATTGGCTCACGCTGATACGTTTCACTCACATTCTGGACAGCTTGCAACGTAAGTTTCGAATTGCCAAGCGTTAGTAGAAACACCGATACGATATCGTGGTAGCCTTGAAAGTAATACAACTCGTCGTTCGCGTCCAATACGCTCAATATAACCTGTGTTAATGCACGACGTTTATCTCGACGCTCGCTCTCCTTGATTCGTTGCAAAACGTCATAGTGCCACAGAGATCGCTCGACGTCCTTTTCCACCTGCGTGGCATCCAAATGCGCTTTTTTGGTATTATTTTTGATGTTAAGTGGACCGTTTCGCTCCAATGACGTAGCTTCTTTCACGCCCAGCAGGAACGGCCAAAGTTCTTTCCGGAACGCTTCCGAAACCAGCCCTTTTGGTGCAATAGCAAGTCGACGGACTTCGTGAAAACACTTGTCGAGTTCGTCGACAGTTGCGACATGGTCGATGCGTTTCAATGCACGCAGACGGTGAATGACAATACGAATTTCACTTTTCTTGTGCCGAATAAGATGACGCTCTCGTTCTGCAGATGCTCGCCCTGGAATGCCCCGTACATAATGTCGCTTGTTTGTATTGCGCTTCTTCGTGGCCATGGATGGATACACAAATTGTTATCCGTACAAAATGGTGCATGTTGTGTAGAAAGTACCGTTTAGTACAAAAAGGTGCATAGACGCGCATGCGAATAATTCGTTGAATCGTGATTAGGTGTATTCGTCGCGCTAGAAAAAAGTGACAGTAGAACCGATCTGAATAAACCTCCGTAACATAGTAGCCTCTATAATATAGTAAGACGGCTTGTGACTTTTGAGTGGCAATCAGTAATTAATCAATGCTGGCTCAACTAATAAGCATTATAAATCGATAGAACATCGACGTCCTTGGAGTATTCATTTAAACAGGTTCTACGGTCAAACGCACTTGGTTGTTGAAACGGCTGTCATGCCCATTTAGCAGCTCAAATTGGCCTCGCGTCTTATCGAAACAGCTGGGACATCAGATCATGTCCCTTTGCTGCCCAGAAACCATCCAGCCTCGCATCCTTTTTAATACAATGCGGCTGAGCTGATGTTTTTCTCAGAACGAATTCAGTAGAAGATCCGAGGGTCGTACCTCTCACACCGTTCACTTTCTTTCGTAGGGTATCGAATTATATAGCCATCCTATACATACATTGTGATAAGATTAAAAACGTTTGTACAAATACATTTTTAGAGGACTTCAGATCTTAGGATTCTGATTTCTGAAATTCGCCCACCATCCCATTATACTGGATTTTAGTATGCTCGACGTGTCCGGTTTGTTGTCCGTTGGTGTCGAATCGAATGCGCTTCAGTGTGGGATATCTCAACTCGACGGCCACAAGTTTGTAGAGACAACATCGAACAGACGATCGATCGCTTCCTCGTGACCTCTCCATACAAAGCACAAGTATTTTCTCTACCAGTCGCGAACTGACGATAAGAACCCCTATTAGCTGGGCACGCACGCACGCACGTGGTCTCGAGTCTCGATTTGATACTCACTGTCTCTCTTCCTCTCCCTACCACGCAAGTCACTCTTAAACACTTTGTTGCCTGCGCAACATGGCGCAATGTTCCGGTAGCGATGGCGATAGTGATGATGCTATGCAGTACAGTAAGTTACTACGCCAGCAGAAGAAAATCTGTGATGAGGCCATGCAGCTGGTCAATGCTGGTGTGGCCATGCAGAATGCATCGCCGCCCGACACGGCGGGCGCTGATGCCAAGCTCTCGCGTGCTGTGACGCTTATGGAGCAGGCGCTTGCCACCAAGTACCCCACGCAGGAGGAGCGTGACGCCAGTCAGCGCCTGAATAACAAGATGAATCGTTACGTGAAGATGATCCGGAGCCAGCGCGAGAAGGGCACAACCGGCGGTGCCACGGGTCGTGGACACAATACCAAGTTTAATATTCTGCCTATGGATGGTTTACCGCCCACTTACAATGTAGTGGTCGATCTGTTTACAAAGTAAGGCTCTCCCTCTTTGTTTTCTATGAGTGGGTAAGATGACATGAACTGACACGGATTGTTTGTTGTCTTTTTTTTTGACAGCTCGTCAGCGGTTGGAGATGTTTTTGAGAGTCTGAAGGGTGCATTTGGTTTCCAAGAGTCTAATGTGGCTAACCAGAAGGAGCACGTACTACTCATGTTGACAAACTTTAAGCTCCAAGAAGAAGAGCCGAACCAAAATAGTGAAGATCCCCGCCAATTAGACCGACAGCAAGAAATGGACATGGCTAATAAAGGCATTAAGCGCTTCCACGCACGTATCTTTGCCAACTACATCAAATGGTGCAAGTACGTGTCTACAAAGCCTGCATTCACGAGCGACCCTGTTGTGGACATTGTGCTGTTCTTCCTCATTTGGGGAGAAGCTGGTAACTTCAGACAGATGCCTGAGTGCCTCTGTTTCCTGCTGCACACATCATTGCCCCAGGCTTCGTCTCGTGGCGGTAACAAAAACCCTGGCGACTTCCTTGTCGAGGTCATCCGCCCTATGTACAACGAGATAAAGAAGGATAACGACAAGAAAACGTCGCAGGGTGCACGGGCTCCTCACGCGGAGATACGAAACTACGACGACTTTAACGAGTTTTTTTGGAGCAAGAAATGTCTGAAGTACAACCCGACGACCATCCACGAGGCATTCGGCGAAGTCGACAAGAAGGGTCGTCCGAAGGTCATTAAAAAGAGCTTTGTGGAAAAGCGTACGTGGATACGCGCGATAATGTCTTTTCGTCGTATTTTTTGCTTCAACTGCGCGCTCTTCTTGGCTTGCTGCGGATTTGCGCTTAATGTGGTCATGTATTGTCCTGATACACCTATCCTGTACGGCGCTGATCTGAGCAACGGAAATTCTCGAGGCTTCACAGTCTTTGGTAAGAACTTTACAGCGTCTGATGTCACTGCTTATGGATCAGGTGACGGTGCAGAAGACAAAGCCGGCTCGGGAGCAAGCTGTAACCAACAAATGCTGGCAACTTGTCTTGGCATGACATACACTTCAGGCGTCTTTGATAAAGTTCCAATTGATTTCAAAGCCTTGCTCCAGGTTGTGCCCTTCACGGACTGTATAGAAAAAAGCACAGGTCGCTGCGGTTGCTATCTGGAACTTGTCGACAATTGTTTTTCGGAACATGGGCAAACAACGAAAGTCACCGAAGACGAGCTGGCGTTTTCTTCATCGGGCGAATACGATCAGAGTACGTGTGTTATGAGCTGGCGCGCTGGAGTGGAGTCCATAATCAAAGAGTCTGGCCCGGGTAAGCTTAATTGTGAAATCTGTCAGCTGGGCATCAAGGCGCTGATTACGAACGGCAAGATTGGCGAGTTGATTGGTGGACTATTGAAGTTTGGTGATGGTACGCCTTTAGAGTCGGGTGACATAAGCAACACGGCTCGTACGGACATGGGTGGTCTCGCTATGGTTGGTGGAGGCGCATTCTTGGCTCTTGTGGTCGTGTGCGAGTTTTTCAACAAGATCTTCTCACGGGTCAGTTCGGGTTACGTCGGACGCTCTATGCCGGTGCCAATGCGAGCATACTGCCGGTATACTTGCTTTTGGATTTTACTGTTTATGTGCAAGCTCACGTTTGACTACCAATACATGATCAAGGCCTTGGTGGAAACGACGTTGTTCATTTGGTATGCAAACGAAGATGAGTACCTACCGTACTCTAGTTTCATTCTCCAGATGACGTTTCACAACATTATTTATATACTGTTCTTGTGGATCCCGTCCTTTTTCGTCTTCATGTATGACGCGCAAATCTTTTACTCGGTTTTGTCGGTAATCTTTGGCTCATTCGCGGGTTTTAACCTTCGAATTGGTGAGTTGCGCTCGTTCCGCGTACTTCGGCTCTCGTTCAAGTCCATTCCCCGCATGTTTAATAAGAAAATTGTCCCGAACATCCAGGATAGTGCGACTGATGGCAAGAAGAAGAAGAAAAAGAAGAAAAAAGGTGAGAAAGAGGAGTCCACCATGCCTGTACGGCACTTCGAGCGTGTATCAATGGCGGATGGAATCAAGCCTCTTACTGTGAAGGCTCAGATGTACTCGAATCTTCTGGAACAAAGCGGCCATCAGTACAATGAGGTAAAAACGCCTCATGACAAGGATGACGCGAGTTCGACTGGTCGGCAGTCTCAGTTGGGGTCTGTTACGGGAGTCTCCGGAGCTGACTTTGAGCGCACGATTCCGTTTGCAATGGCTTGGAACCGTTGTCTAGGCAGTCTCCGTGAGGCTGATATCATTAGTGATCGAGAACTCAATGTTCTGAGCTACTTGATTGACTCGAAGGACGCGGAAGACCGAAAGCTGTACCCGCCGGCCTTTTTGACTGCAGGCAAACTGGATGAATCCATTGACATCATTGCGGATTGTTCAGCGGTGTACGAAAAGCTGAGTTCTGACAAGAAGAAGAAAGAGAAAACACTTCAGAAGATTGAGAACACGATGCGGGAGCGTCTGACAAAGGACGACTTGCGTGTAGAGTCCCTTCTTGGATCGTACAAGTTTACTTCACAAGCTGTTCGCTTTTTGCTTGGAGACGAGCACCGAGACTTGAACGAATGTTTTGAGTTTATGGAAGAAATGGCTGCGCAACAATCAGTGCTCAAGGGACTTAATTTAAAGAGTCTTCACGAGTGTCGTGCAGTCTGTGCTGAGTTAATGAAGGCGCTGTTAGAAGTACCCAAGACGACGACAGACAACAGCATTAAGTTTCAGCGTGCGCTTTACCGCGTAATTGACTGCGTGGAAAGTGTGCTGAGCTGCCTGAAGAAGATTCTGGTAAAGCAGGAAAACCTGGTGCAGATTCTGACAAATACTCCGTTGAAGCAGAGTTCGTTCTTCTTTCCGGGCGATGCGCAGCAGTATGCGAACGTGCAGCTGCAACGCCTGGTAAGCTCTGAGGCAGCATTAGATATCGTGTCTCGAGCGTACCAGTTGTTGACGGTGGATAATTTCGATGCGGAGCCACGCTCCGAAGAAGGACGCCGTCGCTTGCGCTTTTTTGCCAACTCGCTCTTTATGGATATGCCAGACGCCAAACCTATTCGCAAGATTCGTTCGCTGACAGTATCGACGCCATACTACAACGAAATCGTCATGTACTCGATCAAGGACTTGACAGCCCAAAACGACGACAGCATCAAACTGCTCTACTACCTGAAAACAATCTATCCGTTCGAGTGGGAGAATTTGCTCGAGCGTCTCCAGGCGAAGGACATGGAGGAGGCTTTGAAGAAATTTCCCGTAGAAGTCCAATTTTGGGCTAGCTACCGTGGCCAGACACTGGCTCGTACGGTGCGCGGAATGATGTACAATGAGGATGCGATTCGCTTCCTGCACTGGTTGGAAATCTGTGAGAACGAGGTCATGCACCAGTTTGGATGCCCGTGCAACAAATGCAAGCGCCTGGACGATATGGTAGCACTGAAATTCAATTACCTGTGCACGTGTCAAATTTACGGAAAGCAAAAGGATGAACAACGGCAACAGGCCAGTGATCTTGAGTATCTGCTCCGCAAGCACCCAACTCTACGCGTTGCTTATGTGGACGGTCCTAAGAAGGTGAAGGATGGCCCGCCTAAGTATTTTTCTGTTCTCGTGCGCGCCGACCGTGATAATATTGCTGAAGTCTATCGTGTAGAGCTGCCGGGAAACCCGATTATTGGTGAGGGTAAGCCCGAAAACCAGAACCACGCCATTATTTTCTCGCGTGGTGAGCTACTACAGTGTATTGATATGAACCAAGATGGCTACCTCGAGGAAGCACTGAAGATGCCGAACTTGCTGTCTACAAAGGACTCGGAGACTGCAAAGTGTCCTCTGACGATCATTGGTTTCCGAGAGCATGTGTTCACGGGCGGTGTGTCGAATCTTGCCAGCTTCATGTCAATCCAGGAACTGTCGTTCGTGTCGCTCGGTCAGCGAATGCTTGCATTGAACCACGTGCGTCAGCATTATGGTCACCCTGATATCTTTGACAAGCTGTTTGCGATGGGCTGTGGAGGTACTGCTAAGGCTTCCAAGGGCGTAAACCTTTCTGAAGATATTTTTGCTGGTTTCAACACTACACTTCGTGGCGGCCGCGTCTCACACGAAGAGTTTATCCAAGTAGGCAAGGGTCGTGATGTTGGTATGCAACAGCTAGCTCTTTTCGAGGCCAAACTGTCTTCCGGTGCCGGCGAGTGTGTGATTTCTCGTGACGCGATGCGTATGGCATCGCGTCTGGACTTCTTCCGTCTGCATTCTTGGTTTTATGGAAATCTGGGCTGGTACTTTACACAAACGATGACGGTCGTGGGTGTCTTTTTCTTCATCTATGGCAAGGTGTACATGGCGTTGAGTGGGATGGACAGTTTCTTTTTGGAAAAGGGTGGACTAGGCATCGGTGGCACTTTGAATACGTCATGGGCGTTCCAGTTTGGTTTCCTGTTGGTGGTACCGGTTGTTGCAGTGGTTGGTGTGGAGCAGGGTTTTCGACATGGTGTCACGTACCTGTTGTGGAACATCATGACCCTTGGTCCGCTGTTCTTTACATTCCAGATGGGCACGCGTATGCACTACTTTGACCGCACCCTTGTGCATGGTGGTGCCAAGTACCGTGCTACGGGTCGTGGTTTCACGATCAAGCACGAGAAATTTGCGGAGCTTTATCGTTTTTACGCGTTTAGCCACTTCTACCGCGCGGTGGAGCTTGTATTTTTGTTGATTCTGTTCCGTGTGTACGGCACGTTCTCCTGGTGCAATTGCTCATGGACAAAGGACGCGTTGTTTTACAACTACTACAAGCCTTCCGATAACGACTGGAATACGCGTTGCTACGCTTTCTACTACCAAACATGCGTACAGCCGACGAATCAGAACTATGGGATGATGTCGTATTCCTTGTGGATTATTGCAGGGACGTGGTTGTGGGCGCCGTTCTTTTTCAATCCGAGTGGTTTCGATTGGGACAAATTGATTGAAGACTACAACGACTGGCAAAACTGGCTGAAGACGACGAATGACTCTGCAGGAAGTTGGTCGGGCTGGTGGTCCAATGAGCAGGAGTACCTTGAGCACTCGACAAGAGGCGCACGCATCGTGTCAATGATTCGCAAGATGCGTTTTTTCTTCATTGCTTATGGCATGTACTTGCAATTGGTGTACAAGACGTACTATGAGGATCGAGATCTCTTGATTGAGAAGGGGTCAATGATTTCCTACGCACTTGCCGGTCTCATGTTTATCATCGTATTGCTGCTACTATGTTGCGGTTACATTGCAAGTCGTGTGAAGAAGAAACTGACCTTTAAGCAGAGGAAACTGCGCAAGATGAAGTTCATTTTATCTTGCTGTGGCCTCCTCGTGGCTTGTGTGAGTCTGCTGGTCATCTCCGTTTCTAACTTGATAGAGGTCACGATCATTATCTTGATCGCTGCGTACTGGTTCCTCCAGCTCTGCATTTACCGCAACCAGACAAACCATGTGGTGGTACGTGGGATGGCGCGTTCGTACGACCGATGGGTAGGCTGGATCATTTTAGGTCCAGTGCTCTTTATTGCCATGTTCCTACCGTTCCTCTCGTCGTTCCAACAGCGTGTCATGTTTAACAATGCGTTCACGTCGGGTTTGGAGGTATCAAAGCTCTTTGCAAATGAGGCGGCATCGTCTACAAGCAAGGTCGTGAAAGTCAAGCGCGTCGCCAAGAAGAAGAAACGAAGTGACTAGACACATTCAATTGGAACTTCCTCTTGGTGCATTTTGCTCTATATGACGATAGTAAACAAACGCCATGGACGAAGTAATTACTTTGTATTTTTTCTCGAAGATTGATTACTTTTTTTGTATTCGTTCTCTTTATTTAAGTATCTCATAGCAAGAAATAGTACACGTCAACGATGGTACTACCTACATACAGTATACATAAAACCTCTTTTGAAACGTGCGGACAGACGACAGGCAGGCTGGTCGCCAGTTGGACATAAAAAGCTCATTTGTTTCTTGTATGGCAAAGTCTATTCATTGCAATCGTTGCACTATTCACAGTGGCAGGATCGTGTTATAGCTTAAAAAGGTATACCGATGCGATATCATGAAGGCAAGCATGTATACATATAAAAACTCTTGAGCGTATTAATATACTTGGTGAAAATGGAATTTGATGCCTGTAATTACGACGATAATTGAAGATCCATTACCTGAGACTTGTCTCATGGACTCATTGGATTTATTTCTGCGACATACAAAGATCAAGTATAATAGATGGGTGCACGAACCCTTTGATCCAGTTATCAATAACGATCGTCCATCGGAAGCTCTTCTATTTTATGGAGGTTTTCAGACTGGACGGGGCTACTTACAAGTAGTCAACGATGACGACTTCATGTATGGTTGGTACTCGAAAATGGAACCTGCCGTCTTTTGTATTCTTAGCTGTCGAACATGATATTTCTTTATCGAATGCAAAGCGATACGGTCATTTTCACCGTCTGATAGTAAACTCATTTCAATTTGATTGTTAAACACGATAGCTTTTGATTTTGAATATATTCTGACTATGCAATATCAGAGGTCATTGTAATGGAAGATGCATACCGAAGCCAGATCAACAAACTTGGAACGCTATAGAATTTCATCCGCCCGTCTGCATGGTAGATTCTTTAACCGGGGTGAATCGTAGTAATAAGGTCATACGTATCCGGATGTGTATACTGAAATGGACAAAGACTGGCACGACCAGGTAGGTGTCTGGGTCTCCAAAGATAAACGACCTGTTTATATCCGCGTTGTCACACTGGCTCTCTCTGAAACGTTTCATCGGCTAACCCTACGTCCTTCCCCGCGATATCCGAAACTTCTGGTCACTTGATTTCAGTATACTACTATCACCCGAGGGGTTTTTCCAAGCAACCTCGTGGAAAAGGACCCGTTCTAATCCCGCACTTTTCGTCATCATTTCCCTTTCTCATTTGTGTCCATAGCCGTCTAAACGAGCCGAGTGTGTGTCCTACGAGATATCAAGAGACATAAGGGCCACGAGGGACCATGCATCATCATCGTAGTCCAAATGATAGTGGGGAACGGGAAGGCAGTTCCTTTGGACTTATGACGGAAGCTCTTGAAATGCAGCGTCGAATGTGTGATGAAGCCATGGGGCTTGTAAATGCTGGTGTAGCTATGCAGAATGCCACGCCTCCTAATTTAATCGAAGCAGAACGTAAACTTACACGTGCTGTGGATATTATGGAGCAGGCACTGAGTATTCGATATCGTTCAGCCGATGAAAAAGATGCAGCTGATCGTCTTAATAACAAGATGATGAGATATGTCAAGATGATTAAGAGTCAACATGCCAAGAGTATGAGCGTGGCAAGTGGTGGTGGTTCCAAAGGACGAAGTCTGAATAAGCATAATATCTTGGAAATGGAACGACTTCCGGAAGTTTATGCACCCGTCCTGCAATTGCTCAATCATTCGAATCAATTGGGTGACATTTGTGAGACACTGAAACGAGTTTTTGGCTTTCAAGACAGCAGTGTGCTTAATCAGAAGGAGCATTTGTTATTGTTACTTACAAACTTTAAGGAACAGAGTAGCCAAGATGATGGAAAGAAGAAGAAGAAGAACAAGAAGAAACAGGATGATACCGAGACGATTGATGACTATTTACGTCAACGTGACCCCCAATTGGAGCTGGACTTGGCTAGTAAAGGAATTGCACGACTACATAGTCGTGTGTTTGCTAACTACAAGAAGTGGTGCAAATATGTGTCCCAGAAACCGAAATTCTCGAACGATCCACTTGTGGACATTGTTCTCTTCTTTCTTATCTGGGGCGAAGCAGCTAATTTCCGTCAAATGCCAGAGTGTCTGTGTTTTCTGCTGCATACAATGTTGCCGAAAGTCAATAGTGGGGGCAACGAAGAACCAGGGACGTTCTTGGCGAACACGATCCGCCCAATGTACGCCGAGTTGCGTCGTGACAACGACAAAAGGACGAGCAAGGGCGCGCGGGCAGCTCACCGTGACATTCGGAACTACGATGACTTTAATGAGTTCTTCTGGACGAAGAAGAGCTTGAAGTACGACTATACTAACATTGGTGAGGCTTTTGCCAATTATGACAAGAAGGGCCGTCCTAAGGTTGTCAAGAAGACGTACAACGAGACAAGAAGTTGGTTGCGTGCAATCATCTCCTTCCGCCGCATCTTTTTCATGAACTGTGCCTTGTTCTTGACAACGCTGGGGTTGGCCATTGACATTGTGCTGTACTGTCCCGATTCACCCATTATGTATGGCGAAGACGTACAGCCGGCTTCTTCTGTGCTACCCCTTGAAATTTTGGGCAAGAAGTACGCATCGGCAACAGATTCATCGCCATTGGAAAACACTGAAGATTCTCTTTCGGACGAAGTTGATACGGAAAGTGGAGCGGATACCCAATGTTTGTATTCCAAGTTGGCGACATGTTTGGGTGTGGAATACTTCTCGTCGGCTACGGATACCTTTGGCACACTGCCTCAGGATTTTAAACAGCTTTTGGAGATTGTGCCGTTCACGGACTGCGTTGAGAGGACAATTGGCAGGTGCAAATGCTACCATGACCTGATCAACCGTTGTTTTAGCGACATTGGTGACGCTGATCAAGTTTCGACTACGGGATCTGTTGTGTCAGTCGCATACGACCAGCGCAAGTGTGCGCCATCATGGTTGGATCAGGTCAACAGCGTTTTGGACGATGAAGGTGATGGTCTGCTAAACTGTGGCAGCTGTCAGACAGACATTACCAGTCTTACCAAGGATCCGGCTCGCATCTTTAAGTTGCTCCAGGGCTTGATTAATTTTAATCGGTCCGACCGGGGTGTGATGGCTCTTCTTTTTGGTGCTGCCATGATTGGTCTTGTATGCTTGTGTGAGCTACAGAATCGGTTCTTTTCTGGCATTGGCATGGGCTTTGTGGGCCGATCGATGCCTGTTCCTATGAAGACATACTGCCGGTATACGTGCTTTTGGATCGTACTGTATATATGCAAATTGACGTTTGATTATCAGTTTGTGGTGAAAGCACTGGTGGAGACGACACTCTTCGTGTACTCGGCCAACTCAACGGACTTTCTCAAGTACTCTCATTTCATGCTGCAGTTTTCGTACCACAACATCATCTACATCATGTTCCTGTGGATCCCGGCGTGGATGGTGTTTCTTTACGACGCTCAGATTTTCTACTCGCTTCTGTCTGTTATTTACGGCTCGTTCGCTGGTTTCAACCTCCGCATTGGTGAACTTCGATCATTTCGTATTCTTCGTTTGACATTCAAGTCCATCCCTGGCGTATTTAACCGCAAGATGGTGCCGAATATTGTGGAGGAGAAGGCGAAAAAGATGAAGAGAAGAAACAAAAAGAACAGAAATGCTAGGGACGAGATGGCCATGCCTCTTCGTCGTTTCGAACGAATCTCGATGTCTCAGGGTGCTAAGCCTTTGACGGTGAAAACGCAAAAGTACTCGAGCCTGCTCGAACAGCGTGATGATGATGATGTATACTGCCAGATGAAGACCCCCAACGGCACTGACGAAGACGCGTTATCTCAGTCGAGCCGCACCTCGAATATTGGCTCCATCACGGGTGTGTCGGGGGCGGAGTTCGAACGCACCATTCCGTTTGCGATGGCATGGAACCGTTGCCTGACCAGTTTGCGTGAAGCTGACGTCATCAGTGATCGTGAGCTAAACGTTTTGAGTTATTTGATTGATTCCAAGGACACGGTGGGCCGTAAGCTCTACCCACCTGCCTTCCTGACGGCTGGAAAGCTAGATGAATCAATTGATATTGTGCTCGAGTGCTCGGCGTTATATGAGAAGCTGAAAACCGATAAAAAGAAGAAGGACAAGACGCTTCAGAAGATTGAGACTACCATGCGCGAGCGTCTGACAAAGGATGATTTGCGTGTGGAATCAATTCTGGGTTCATACAAGTTTTCTTCTCAGGTTTTGCGCATTTTGCTTGGTGAGGAACACAAGGAGCTGGACGACTGCTACAACTTTATCGAGGAGATGGCATCGCACCAACAGATCCTGAAGGGCTTGAAGCTGGATAACCTTTACCAATGCCGCGCTGCTGCTGCTGAACTTATGAAAGCTATTCTTGAGGTGCCAAAGAAGTCGACAGAAAGTAGCATTAAGTTTCAGCGCGCGCTGTACAAGGTCATCGACTCAGTGGAGTCGACGATTAACTGCCTGAAGATGGTGCTGGCAAAACAAGAAAACTTGGTGCAGATGCTAAACGATACCCCTTTGAAGCCTAACTCGTTCTTCTTCCCAGGCGATTCTCAGCATTACGCAAGCCTGCAGTTGCAAAAGATTGTAAACGACGAAGCTGCTTTAGACATTGTGTCACGTGCATACCAGTTATTGACAGTCGACAACTTTGATGCTGAGCCGCGCTCGGAAGAGGGACGCCGTCGCTTGCGCTTTTTTGCCAACTCTTTGTTCATGGACATGCCGGAGGCGAAGCCTATTCGCAAGATCCGTTCGTTGACTGTGTCGACGCCTTACTACAACGAAATTGTGATGTACTCGATCAAGGATTTGACTGCTCAGAATGATGACTGCATTAAGCTGTTATACTACCTGCAGACTATTTACCCTTTTGAATGGGAGAATTTGCTGGAACGTATTCAGGCCAAGGACATGAATGAGGCTTTAAAGAAGAATCCAGAGGAGGTTCAGTTGTGGGCAAGTTACCGTGGTCAAACGCTGGCTCGTACTGCGCGCGGTATGATGTACAACGAGGAAGCTATTCGCTTCTTGCACTGGTTGGAAATTGGCGAGAATGAGCCGATGCACCAACTGACGTGCTCGTGCAACAAGTGCTGCAAGCTGAATGAGATGGTAAATCTCAAGTTTAACTACGTGTGCACGTGTCAGATTTACGGAAAAATGAAGGACGAACAAAAGCATCAAGCTCAGGACATTGACTTCCTGCTTCGCAAACATCCTAACCTGCGTGTTGCATACGTGGATGGCCCGAAGAAGGTCAAGGACGGTCCTCCCAAGTTCTTTTCAGTGCTAGTTCGAGCATTGGATGACAAGGTTGTCGAAATTTACCGCGTGGAGCTTCCAGGTAATCCGATCGTTGGTGAAGGTAAGCCTGAGAACCAGAACCATGCCATTATTTTCTCGCGTGGTGAGCTGTTGCAGTGTATCGATATGAACCAAGATGGCTACCTCGAGGAAGCACTGAAGATGCCAAACTTGCTGTCGACAATGGACAGCGGCACTGAAAAACGTCCCTTGACGATCATTGGTTTCCGAGAGCATGTGTTTACGGGCGGTGTGTCGAATCTTGCCAGCTTCATGTCAATCCAGGAACTGTCGTTCGTGTCGCTGGGCCAGCGAATGCTTGCCCTCTTCCATGTGCGTCAGCATTACGGCCACCCTGATATATTCGACAAACTGTTTGCCATGAGTTGTGGTGGCACTGCCAAGGCATCCAAAGGTATCAACCTTTCCGAAGACATTTTTGCTGGTTTCAACAGTACGCTTCGTGGTGGGCGTACGTCTCACGAGGAGTTTATCCAAGTAGGCAAGGGTCGTGATGTTGGTATGCAACAGCTAGCTCTTTTCGAGGCCAAACTGTCTTCTGGTGCTGGTGAAGCTGTGATTTCTCGCGACGCGATGCGTATGGCATCTCGCCTAGACTTCTTCCGTCTGCATTCGTGGTTTTATGGAAATCTGGGGTGGTACTTTACGCAGTCTATGACTGTGGTGGGAGTGTATTTCTTTATTTACGGCAAGGTGTACATGGCGTTGAGTGGCATGGACAGTTACTTCCTTGAGAAGGGCGGGCTGGGAATCGCTGGCACATTGAATACGTCGTGGGCGTTCCAGTTCGGTTTCCTGTTGGTGGTACCGGTTATTGCAGTGGTTGGCGTAGAGCAGGGTTTTCGTCATGGTTTTACGTATTTGTTGTGGAACATCATGACGCTAGGCCCCATCTTTTTCACATTCCAGATGGGTACACGTATGCATTACTTTGACCGCACGCTGATTCATGGTGGCGCTAAGTACCGTGCTACGGGTCGTGGTTTCACGATCAAGCACGAGAAGTTTGCGGAGCTTTATCGCTTCTATGCGTTCAGCCACTTTTACCGTGGAGTAGAACTGCTATTCCTGTTGTTGATGTTCTACGCCTACGGCACGTTTTCGTGGTGCAACTGCTCATGGCGATTAGATAGCAATTTCTATAACGACGTCCAGCCGACAGACCTTGAGTGGCGAACGCGCTGCTACGCTGATCACTATCAGTCGTGTGTTTTGCCGACCAACCAGAACTATGGTGTCATGTCTTACTCGCTGTGGATTATTGCGGCGACGTGGATGTGGGCACCTTTCTTTTTCAACCCGAGTGGCCTGGACTGGGACAAAATCATTGAAGACTACAATGACTGGCAAAACTGGCTGAAAACGAACAATGACTCGGCAGACAGTTGGTTTGGTTGGTGGTCTAATGAGCAGGAATACCTGGAGCACACGACCGGTGGTGCTCGCTTCATTACTGGCGTTCGCAAGCTTCGTTTCCTGCTAATTGCTGTCGGTATGTACCTAAACATGATGTACGACGCGTATTTCGAGCAGCCGAACAGGATTATCCGATCTGAAGATGGGATATTGACGTACGCTCTATCCGCTTTGGTCATTGTGGTTTTTGCGCTATTGATATGCTGCGGTTACGTTGCTAGCCGTGTGACGAAGAAGATGTCGATGAAACAGCGCAAGTTGCGCAAAATTAAATTCCTGCTGTCGTGCTGCTGCTTTCTCATCTCGATGCTGAGTCTGACGGTGTTGTCGTTTGGCAATCTGTTCGCAATCTTTATTCTGCTGATGCTGGCGATCTACTGGTTCATGCAAGTGTGCATTTTGCGCCTGCAGTACCACCACATCGTCGTGCGCGCGCTAGCTCGCGGCTACGACCGTGCCGTTGGATGGATTGTATTCGGGCCTATTATGATTGTGTCAATGTTCTTGCCCTTTCTCTCCTCGTTCCAGCAGCGTGTCATGTTCAACAACGCTTTCACCTCGGGTCTCGAGGTATCGAAGCTTTTCGCACACGATGTGGCTCCAACGCAGGTTGTCAAGGTTAAACGCGTTTCAAAGAAGAAGAAAACCCGCGATGACTAGTCGAAGCGACTTTCTAAGTGCTCTTCTTTTGAGCTCGTAGGTCGATTAAGTCTAGCGATTTTGTATCTTCACAGAAAACAGATTGTTCTCTTCAACGCTTCTTCACGTTGTTTTGGTATTGAAAGATCAGACAGACTTGCTTCGTCGAAGGTGATGATTGAAAGTCTCCAAAGCTCTAGCTAACCCTGCATTCGAGTGAGGTCTGGGGTTGAAACAACATGACGCATACCTACGAGCTCAGCTACTGAACGACTGTTTATACCGCTATGGGGACTCGCAACGTTCATTTGACTGAATGGCGCGATGCTGCCTGACGTACTTACAAGTGTTCGGGCGCTACTGGTACGAGGTGGAGAGCCAATCTTGAGTTTGCCTAGGATTTCGGAAAACTTTTGCGTATCCGGTTGGAAGCGCTTCAGATCAAGGTTCCGACGCGAGTCTCCCGAAACTTTACTATGCGGTGAGACTGAAGTCGGGCCACTTCCATTGCACGTTAGCTCAACGGAAGACCGTGACCGCAAGGTGGGCATTGTCAATTCTTGCGAAGGTGATAACGTGTCGCTGTTTTGGTCATCGTCGTCTACAATATCCCTGGGCGGCCCTGATTCACTTTCAATCGATGACATCGTGTTGCTCCGGCGGCGAGTTCCATTTTCTTCTTCATCCAACAGACGCGAGATACGACTACTACAGTTGCTTTTTGGAGCAGATCCCACGAGAAGGGACGTGCCAACTGGGCCAACACCACCCGAACCAGCCGTAACTTCTCGCATGCGCTGCACGTCAAACTCTTCCGCGTCGACTTCATTATCAATCTCAATTGCCATTGCACTTTCCGTGTTTCCTCGAGACATTTGAGTAGCTAGGCTCTGCATAGCATCTTCGATCGCGTGCATCCACTGCTCCTGCCGCCCCCACGTGTCAGTAAGCACAATAAAGTTTTTGTAGCCTTTTGATGAAAACTGTAAACCGTGTGCACCGCTTCCCGGACCCTCTGTCACGCCGAAGCTATACCACTTACGGACAGATGTAGGGATGACCCACTTCATACGGTTCGTCCAGTTAGCACTTTGAAGCGTGTCACAGTACCAGAGCTTATCGCACACTTGGCATAAACCGAAGAACGTGATGGTAAACGTAAGCGCGTGAAATGGCATAGGCACTGGGAACTGGATGAACGAGCTTACACGTGTTGGCTCTGGAATAGGAATATGATCGTGAATCTTGTCCTTTTTGTACATGAATCCCGTGATGAACTCGTCCGTGTATGTGACCTTGCAGTAGCGACTTGCAGCACACGGGAAAATGGTCTCCATATAGCCAGAATATTCATTCTCCTCAGCGTGTGTGAGCGTAGTCGACACATAATCGACCGCACTCTGCTTCAGCTTCAAGCATCCATGACACAACGGCGCATTACGCTCGCCCAGCGGTAGCATCTCGACACGATTCTGCTCTGCAAGAATTTGCTCAAATTTCACCCACTTTATGTGCTGCGATGTGTACTGCCGCACAACATCTTGGCATGTGATTGCAACTGATCCACTTTTGCAATTTGGGGTGCTAGAAAATAGAACAAAACACGTTAGAGCATTAAAAGGACAATGTTGCACACAACATTACGTACTTTGTCAGTGTGAAGATGCTGTTTGCGATAGTAGTCATATGACCCTTGTACTGCATGTGCTCATCGTATGCCCAAATGACAAAGTCCAAAATGTTCGCACCCTCAATGAAGAGACTATTCAATAAAGGAGACGATGGCAGGCGTTTCTGATCTGGGTCCATCAAAACAAATCTAATGACGTCTGTAAGCTCATGGTGCAACATGCTGTTGCTAGGGTGCGATCCATAACAGGCTAATAAGCACGGCATCAAGCCAAAATCTGCCAGCAGGTAATCCACTTCTCCACTTTGCAAAAACACACAACGTTTTAGAAACGTAATGATGTGCAATAGCGCAGATCCTTTAGTGCCCACAGCCTTGATCTTTCCAGGGCTTAAAGAATTGGATATTGCGCGAAGCGCTTTGACGTCCGACGTAACCACTGCGCGACACAGCTTCACAAATTTTTCCACACGAGGAATCAGTGCATTTAGCACCGACACACAGACAACCTTCAAAAGATCTTCAATTCCTGTTACATCACGTTTTTTCTTGTGGTAATTCAACGTACTCATCATCATCATAACGATAGACAGGGCACCGCCTTCACGGACAACCAAAGACTTGCATCCCTGAGTACTTTGGCGACAGACCTCCGCGAATCCCAAATCAAGCAGTGTGCCAAACGAGACATCCGGTGTGCTAAGTATAAATATCAGTAACGACTTGAACAGCTCATTGTGATGGAGAGGAAGATGCTGGTCCGTTATCAACGGCAACGAGTGGTCTGTGTTCTCCACGAAAGTAGCCACGTTGTTCATTATGTACACTGAAGGAGGATAGATGATGTAGTTTATCAGTGAGCAAATGTTCTCGACAGAGTCGCGCTGAAATGCTGTTCCCACACCCCATCCTAGTGTCCGCTGCCATGAGTAAAGGCGAGCAAACAAGCAGTCGAAAATACCACTCTTCAGTACGTTAAGTTGCCCTGCTTCCGACATGTCTGAGTACAACAGCCACACAAGGGTGTCGCGAATCGAATCGAGACCGATATGGCACACTAGCCAAGGTACAATCATTTTTCCTTCATTAGCTATGAAGCGCCAAATAAGGCCTCCAAGGCTCTCGTTCACAATCAAGTGGTTGACGACTTTGCAGAAAAGAACCAGCAGTACATCATCCAAGGGATCCGCAGTGCAAATGAAGTTAAATAGTACCTTCAGATATCCAGATGAAGTCTTAACGTCATAATCATTGGCCGTGTTTAAAGTCCGTCCAGTGCCACCAGGCTTATCTTTTTGGAAGATTTTCGGCGAGTACCACAGTGCAACCTCGCTGCAAAAATGCTGGACAGCGTACTTGCCGTAATTGGGATCATCCGTGGAGTCAGACTCGGAAGACGATACTGATATCGTTAGCAGGCGAAACACTTCATAAATAATTCGAGGCTGCTCCAGCCACATACTCGACTTGTGCTCTCGTACCATCTCTCGATATAAAATATCAATTGAGATTTGACTGCTTTTTGCAATCTCCAACAAATCTTGCAGGGTCGAGTTCTGCTTGGCAACAGTTTCTTCAATTTTTCGACGATGGTCCTTAACGGATTCCTACAAGGATCGATAGACGTTAGCTATAAACAAGTTCCCATATTATCGTGACCACGCTACTCACACTTTCAGCGTGTTCGCGCAGGTAATCTTCAATATCAGGGTATCCCGCTATCCTTGCTAGATGCTCTGCGGTGTTCCCATCTCTCTACACAGTATCATTTCTCGCTAATATGAGCATGGTGGCCGAAAGTTTAGTTGAACAGAACTGCAGCCGCTTACATCTTTCGCGACCAGACTTGCACCAGCCTTGACTAGTAACTTTATACAACCAAGATTTCCGGCACGCGCAGCTTCCATTAGAGCTGTGGTTGAATTAGGCTACACAAAACACACACGTATATGGACGTTTGCAGCTACTTAGTACATCAACGTCCATGTACTAAGTAAGCCTCGAGTACTGATGCTCGGCAAAAATATACGTACACTTTGTATCTCGAGTTCTGCTCCGCCATTTAGCAAAATTGAACAGCATTCCTCCAGGCCACCTCGAGCAGCAATGTGAAGTGCTGTAGTGCCACGACTCTACAGCAATAAATCATCGGAGCATTCGTCAGTCGGCAATCATTTTTGCTCGAGCTGACTAAACGCACTCAACGTACTCGGTTCCTGGACAAGTTTATTCTTGCTCCCTTTTTGATCAGCAGTCTCACACAATTTGCACGGCCGTCACGAGCAGCGACCATCAGCGCAGTCATGCCATGCACCTAGCATTGCTTTATCGTTAGTCATGGATTCCAAACTCACCCATTTTAGTACATCTGTGCAGAGGAAAACTCACATCTTCCAAGTCTAGACTGGCACCAAACATTAGTAAGGCCCGCGCTGCTTCCACATTCCCGACCGAACAAGCCATCATAAGTGGCGACACACCCGTGGGCTGTTAATAGTTGTGTACAGGCAAACAGTGATTAGCGTCAGCACATTTTTCTCCTTCATGACCAATCCTACATTAACTACTACCTTTTGCTCGTCTAGTGAAACACCAATACTATGTAAGATCTCGATACAATCGACATGCCCATTTTCAGCAGCATCACACAGTGCTACTGCCTTTGGAAAACTCTGCACTCGAAACAAACAAACTCACAGTCAGCAACTTTAGCCAAACGACCTCCCCCTCCCTTACAATTGAATTATGCGATTGCAACGCACATCCACGACATTTCCCGTAGCATTGATGTCCAGCAAGTGTCTCAATAGTTCGACATCCCCAGCACGTGCTGCCGTCTGAATCCCAAAGTATACATCGTCCAGTACAACATGTTTACACGCCTGTTCTCCCCAGAGCAACTCAATTGAAATCCGTGATGGTTTATCCCGTAATAATTGATCTGCATGGTATTTTGACAGTAATACAATAGGAATGGACACGGATTGACGTCCAGACGAATGAAATCCATCGAATAATGACTGAATCGCGTGTTTATTGTCCGTCCGTTCAATAAAGACGATCCCAGTGACTCCAACAGCCAATATACGTCGTACAATATCAGGAAAATGAACACGACCACCTCGTTCAATGACTGCAATGTTTCCTAGTAGCTCCATCTTGTTCTTGAGCTCTCCATCACCTTTTGGAGGATCCATGTACACGACTGTCCCATTTACTATGCGCGGTACACGGTCGTATCGGTAGCTAGAAGGCTCTGCAAAGTGGTAGCTCGTGGTCGTGCTTTTCTGTACGTACAGATTGACGTTCATGTCTTCAGTGATCGTCGTCTGTTGCTGCTTGGGACTTCGTTGCCAACATACAAAAGGGATGCCATCACTACGCGAGCCGTTAGCTGTCGATTGCTCGTTGCCCATGCTCGTAAGATGACGGAATGCGGACAAGAGTGATGGTCACTCAAAATGTCTAATATCTTGTACAAAGGAAACGAAATCCAGTGTACTTGTTGGCTGAATGTACAGGAGAAAGTGCTGATCAGCTACTAGATGACAGTGTCGTTTCGGCTTTGACACCCGTTACGTCGATGCAGTAGTAGTGCTTTATTGGTTGCGAGTTCGGTTTTTTTGTCTGTTGCTACGGGCAGTTGAAGCAAGCTAGTTTTTGTATTGGGAAAGCTACTTGAAATACGGTCGTACATTTTTCTCTTAACTGTGAGTACATACGCTATTTCGCTCTCTCTCTCTATCTGTCGACTCTATTTGCCAATATTACCAATCGCGTAAAATGGCTGTTCGTGCAAGCGCAAAGCAAGTGCAACAGCAGCTAATAAAGAACTGGTCAACGCTTCACTATCGCATTGAATATGGCGGATATCTGTCGAACCACCTGCTTCATGGTGTTGTGGCGCTGTTCGACCTCGGTGCTAGTGAAGAAAAGATTGAGCATTTTGCAGTGAACTACTCAACGATGCTGGAGAAAAAAGAGACCAATTACGAAGATGTAACGCAGTCCGACGGGCTTGCAAAGGTCTTGCAAGAGTCAAAACTGACGTTTGCAAGTGCACATGAGTTGCTTGGCAAGCGACAGAACTTTGACGGACTCCTGGCGCTTTATGCTACTGAAGTGCACGATTTGGGGATTGACGGAGCAGTGAAGAAACATTTGCCCTTTCTAGTCGGTGGTCTGGCTGGAGCGCTTCTTCACTCTATCATTCAGCTTGGCTATTCCTACCACATTGGCGGGGAGCGTCTTGTGGCGGAAGGGCTGACGTACATGCACTATGCCTATCTGTCATTCGACGAGCCTCACAATGTTACTGGCGAGGAACTTTACGAAAAGAAAACGTTGTCGCGTGGAGAGGCGTTGCAACTAGTGCATTCGCTAAATGGCAATGAGTTTTTGCTGGGTGAGATGCGTCGCAAGCTTCAGACGGAGCCGCTCATTGATCTCAAGATTGGCAAACTCCAGAAGCGCTTGAGTACGATGTCGGGCGACCCGGAACGAGGGAGCTCAACCGCGTTTCTATTGATTTGGAAGACGATCAACCGATACGACCTTTCAAAGATGGACGGGGTGTTTGCGCTTGATTTGGCCTTGTGGTTGTACATGATGATTGAGCATAATGATTTTGTAATCCTGCACGCGGTGACATCGGCGTGGGCTCTGCAGCAGGTTGAGCACTTGCTGGCACCGAAGGATCGTGAGCGCGCATGGAAGGTCTGGCTGCATGTGGCGTTATCAGCGTTCGTCACGAATGACATAAAAGATGTGCGATCATCGGACGTGTGCGAGCACCATATGCTCGAGTCGAAACCATGGGAACAAACCATTCCGAAAACTTTGAGTCTAGCAGAGCTGGAACGTGATCTGGTGCATGCATACAAGCTTGTGCAAGTCGCTCACAACCACGCCAAGTGTGTCGAGAACGCTTTTCTGACGTCTGAAGAGCGTGACTTGCTTACGCGTCAGAGTGCGCTCAAGGTGATTACTTGCGACTTTGGTCCGCTATAATAATAATGACGTACGTGTTAGTGACGTAGGCTATCAAGACTCAATAAGCCCCAAGAACAATGATGACGTACTTGAAGTTTTTCTTAGTTGAAGCTCGAATGTTGCGCGGATATGCGTTACCTTCGCTTAACATCGACATTATACAATCAAACAACAACAAACTATTGATAATAGATAAAGCGCAGCTCTACGTGGCATCATCCGACTGCCAACTCTGAGCATCATGACAGCGAGCGCATCCTTCAAGCGCCTCTTATGCTTAAGATTGTTTGCTATAATTCTCGTCTGTGCGGCAACGTTGTCGTTAGTCGCTGCCGACAACATCCCGAAACCGTTTTCAAAGGACATGTTGGAATACCTGCAGTGCCAAGTATGTCAGACACCAGAGCTCACAGGTAGCGTACAAGACTCGGCATGCGACTACGAGACAGTAGACAAAGCGGTGAATCAGCATTTTCATCCACTGCTGCATGAACTATCGCGTCTCACATTTTTCCGCTACTTTAAGGTGGATCTGGGCAAAGAATGTCCTCATTTACCGTGGCAGGATGACGGTATATGCGCCAGTATTGACTGTGCTGTATGTGAGTGTCCGTCGCACGAGATTCCAATACCCTGGAGTCAATTGGACCAGCATGAGACTCAGTCGCGTCAGAGTAAGAGTCGTGGAGAAGCTGGCAAACCCTGTGATGAGCAGACGGGGGAAAGCAATCTGTCTAAGGTTGAGCGCAAAAATGCAGTGGCTGGTGAGAGTTTTGAAGCGTGGGAAGAGATCCCCAGTGCCAATGTGTGGGCTACTCAGGGCGAGGAAGAGGAGACGATGACGTACATTAATCTGCTGGAAAATCCGGAGAGATACACCGGCTATAGCGGCGTTCAGGCTGAACGCATTTGGAATGCTATCTACAAGGAAAATTGCTTTTCACCGCCAAAAGAGAGTGCATTTGACGGCATGTGTCTAGAAGAGCGTGTGTACTACCGCCTCATTAGTGGGCTGCAGGCTTCAATCAATACACACATCGCGCTGACGTACAAATTTGGCAACAAGTGGGGAGTCAATCCTTCACTATTCGTCGACCGAGTTGGCAAGCACCGCGATCGACTCCAGAACCTCTACTTCGCCTACCTGTTCGTCATGCGGGCGATCAGCAAGTACCGTCAGGAACTGTTGGCGTACGACTACAATACGGGCAACACCGCTGATGATCTTCGTGTGAAGGAGATCCTCCACCAACTTTTGCTCGAAGGATCAGATGACGCTCGGGCGTCGGGCGTTTCCTGCTTGGCATATGCCGAATGCTCGTCCGTCCTGTCTGGTTTTGATGAGAGTGCGCTCTTTCGTGTTCAAGCCGACGGTCTATCTATCGATCAGCTAGCACAAGCCAAGCAGGAGAAGAAGCAGCTTGAAGTGCAGTTTCGCGAGAAGTTTCAGAATGTGAGTCGTATCATGGACTGCGTCACATGTGAGATGTGCCGTCTTTGGGGCAAGTTGCAGATTATGGGATTGGGAACAGCCGTCAAGATCTTGCTCGCGGAGGACGTGTCGACGATCCCTAAGCTGCATCGCAACGAGCTCATCGCGCTCATTAACGTGGCAAACAACCTCGCTCGTAGTGTAGACGGCGTGAAGATGATGCGGGAGCTCGAGTTCATCGAGGCTGTAAAACAGTTCGGTTTTGTCTGCGGTGCAGCCGTTCTTCTCGTGTTGGCCCTTATAGTCATTTTCCGTAGACGTAAAACGCGGGCGCAAAAGAAGCATACGAAGCAAGAGTAAGTGTCCTTCACAGATAGAGAAGCTTGCAACTCAGAATACAAATGATTTAAAACGTGTCGGCAACAATGCGATCTATGCCACCTCCTGTTGACATGGTGCATCTTGGACTTCCATGTCCCCGACGTGCTCTCGACACTGCATATAATACGGCATCACTAAATGCTTAACGAAGTTCTTCACTTCGCATGTACGGAGGTCTTCGTCGAGCACATCCTTGTCATAACCAATCTCCCACGCGAGGTCTTTGCGCGTTGGATTCGCTGCCAGTTCCTCTAGCAAATTTACAAAACGGTCCGCGTCGTCCAGATCCGCAAAAAATCCCAGCTGCGTGTTCACCTCGCGGCGACAGTGCAACAATCGCGCCATCTCGTGTAGATCATATTCTGGGTGATATTGTAGTCCCCAGAACTCACCCCTCATGTACCGAAGGCACACACTCTGCACAGTGGTAAATGTATTAGTTGCGAGCATCAAAGCTCCAGGACGAACAGCCCAAACCTCATCCTTGTGGCTACTAAAGGCGTCAAACACCGATGGCTTGCCCTCGTACATTGGGTGCGCACGGCCTGCCGCATTAAGACGGATCTTGCGTGCTACTCCTAGCTCTTTGCCTCGCTTATTCTTCTGCACGATTCCACCGGCAGTAGTGACAGCCAGTTGCAGTCCAAAGCAACTACCGAACTGTGGTACACCAAGTGCAAAACTCTGGCGAGCTAGATTCATCATCTGCATTACGGACGGGTCGTCACGTTCATGTACCGCCAAGGACGACCCTGACCAGCCCACACCATGGTACTGTCATTCAAGCAAAAAAAAACGACTCAGTCCTAGCATAACACTAAGAATGCCTGGAAATGCACACACCTTGGTAAGATCTGGAGCAACGAAGCCCGAATCAGCCGGGTAGATGAGGTCGTATTTTGCAGAGCGGCCAACGCTGCACTTTGTGGCTTTTACGAGCATGTTGGCATACAATTGCCCGGCAGTCGTAGCGCCACCTGCCTCGAGGACATCTCGGCCAGTCTTGACATAGCCATCGATCACCAAGTATCGGACCTCTTCTTCCGTTGCAGCTGTCGCCGTATGCAGTCCCTTGTGCGCTTGCAGACGCCTGCTTAGTAGCCGCTGCGCCCGAACAGTCACGCGCTGGTACATCTCTTTTGTTTGGCGACTAGGGAACTATAACGTCCTTTAGTGATCGATGACGGACGACGCGTCGACAAGACCTTTTTTTACCCAAGATACAAACAACAACGTTTGGTAGCACTAGCCCTCCATTCGATCTTGGACATTTTAGTTCCTCAATGTCAATGTTTCGTTACATCGCTACCCAAGTACGTGGCAACTTGAATCTTTTACCAAGAGAGCCAGCTCAATATGCTCACAGTTTGTTATGTGTCTTACTGCAGCTTACAACAAAGTCTCGTCAGGTCGTCCAGGTCGTTTCTCAGCGCGGCTTTGCAGTGTCAGCGTAGGTTGAATAAATAGCAAAGAAACGCTGCAAAATGTCTTCCAGAATTGACAAATATTGTCAGCTATGCTTCCAGACTTACGGTAGACAATCCATACACGGGAGAGACATTTTGCGAGGTTGTCTATGACTCAAAGGCCGAGGCGCACACCAAACTCGATGCTGCTGTGATGGCGCAGCTCGACTGGAAGAACGTGCCGCTCAACGAACGTCAAAGACTGTGCACCAATTGGATCAACGTTCTCTCTAGCAATGCAGCAGATATTTCTAACGACATTTCCGGCATGATGGGAAAGCCTGTGCAGCAAGCGCGCAACGAGATCAATGGCACAATTGACCGTGCCAAGTACGATATTACTTCATCATCCGAGTGTTATGACTTGCGCTGACTAAGGTTCCTGTACTCGTTATGGTGTTCATAGAGCACTCATCAACTTGTCAAATGAAGCGCTGTGCAAGGAATCGTTTCCAGAAGAGAATGGCCTGTTTCGTCAGATCACACACGACCCTGTTGGCGTCGTTTACGTCATTGTAAGTGGATTCATGTTGATAAAGCTGTAGTTTCTGTCTTCACTAGCCGATTTTAATGTTTCGCAACCACTTTTATGCGGATCAGGCTCCGTGGAACTACCCTCTTATGACGGCGGTCAACTCGATCATTCCTGCTGTACTCGCTGGTAACACGGTGTTGTTAAAGCACTCACCTCGCACTCCACTCTGTGGAGAGCACTACGCAAAGACATTCGAGCAAGCCGGTTTCCCGAAGAACGTTCTCCAGTCATCGTTTGTTGAGCATGACACGGCTGCTGAAATCATCCAGCGCCCGGAGATCGCATTTGTATCGTTCACTGGATCTGTCCGAGGGTACGCATTTTTCAAGAATTTTAGGCCCTGTCAGTTGTCTAACGGTGTGCTTTATTCCTATTCGAAATGAAGTGGTCGCCAAGTCCAACAGACGCTGTCTCAGCGCTCGATCGATGTAACATTGGAGCTCGGAGGGAATGTAAGTGCAGGTTGATGTTGAGTCCTTTACGCTTTGCATTTTCTAACGTGGGAGTTTGCGACGGTCATAGGACGCCGGATACGTGACAGCCAATGCAGACGCTGAAGCTGCTGCAGAGGCTCTGGTGGACGGTGTTTGCTACAACTCTGGTCAATCGTGCTGCGGTGTAGAGAGAATTTACGTCCACGAGGCGAAGTATGACCAGTTCTTGGAGAAGGCGATCAGCTTGTTCGAGGCGTACAACCTGGGCAACCCGACCGACGCAAAAACGTCAATGGGTCCGATGGCCCTTCCTACCGCTCCGGAAATGCTCGATGCTCACGTGAAAGATGCTATGGCGAAGGGTGCTCTCCGACTGACAGGCAGCGGAATTGTTACGGATGCTGCTGGAAAAGGCCGCTTTTACTCGCCTACCCTCCTTGGTAACTGTAATAACTCCATGGACATTATGACAGAGGAATCGTTCGGACCAATTGTCGGCGTCGAGCGCGTTTCATCGGATGCTGATGCAATTGAGAAGATAAACGACAGCAAGTACGGACTGACGGCCTCTATCTTTTCATCGGACCGTGAGCAAGCTATGGTGGTGGGTTCGCAGATCAGTGTCGGCACTGTGTACATGAACCGATGTGATGTGCTGGATCCCTACCTTCCTTGGACCGGCAACCGTGATTCTGGTAAAGGCATTAGCCTCTCCAAGCACGGGTTCCGCAGCGTCACGAAACTCAAATCGGTACGCGTTTGATCTCGCTTTTAATCAGACTCGGCTATTTACTCGTGTCATATTCGTTTGATTGTAGTGGAACTTCCGTGTTTAGCTGGTATAAACAACTGAGAGCCGCTGAAAGGTTTCCCAATAAGAACTGCATCGATCGCAGCGTGCGCAGACTCAGCATATCTCTCGCACCACATCATTCAATCCTACGGGGCAAGACGAATAGTGCTCGATTCCACACGTAGCTCGACTAGTTTGCATTTGTGTTTGTTGGATTACAGCACTCACTTAGTATGAAAGTAACGACGACTTTCAGGTCGAAACGTTGGTTTCATAGATATGTACAAGGAGATCATCGTCGTACATGCCAAAATGCAAGTATCTTGCTTTGTGTGTAAAGAAAGTTAGCATAACTTAGCTATCCTACCCAACACTTACGTGGTAACTAACCAAATCCTGCTACTCACACCTCACTAGGGCCTCCGAAGGGATCCACACTACCCTCGCTTGTCACGTAGGCCGACGTAATACCGCCATCAACTACAAAAGACGTTCCAGTGATATACGACGCGTCATCACTGGCAAGGAATAAAACCGCCTTGGCCATCTCAGCGGCTTCTCCAAAGCGACCCATGGGTACGTGCACCAGACGGCGTTGCTTTTTCTCTTCCGTGTCCAGGAACTTCTGCAGTAGCTCAGTGTTTAATGGACCGGGGCACAGTGCGTTCACACGGATATTCTCGCGAGCGTGGATCGTAGCCAGCTCACGAGACATGGCAATCACTGCACCCTTGCTAGACGTATAGGCAAGTTGAGGTGTGGCTGCACCCAGGATACCTACAAACGAGGCCGTGTTGATAATGGAGCCGCCACCAGCGCGACGCATGGCTGGAATGCCGTACTTGCAACCAAGAAATACACCCTTAACGTTAATATTCATGGTAAGGTCCCATACGTCCTCCTGTGTAGTGACAGCGTCGTCGTCTTCGTTGTGCATGATGCCAGCGTTGTTGAAAAGCACGTGCAGGGCGCCAAACTCCTTCTCGGCCACGTTTACCATGTTCTCTACGTCTCTGGCCATGGACACGTCAGCTTTCACGGCAATAGCTACTGTATCGCTCGAGCCAAGCTTCTGGAGTTCTTCATGTACCAGTTGTGCGGTCTCTGCTGCACCGTCCGCGTTCATGTCGACACAGACGACACCTTTGGCACCCTGTTTGGCAAACAGTATCGCAGACTTGCGGCCAATACCACCGGCAGCTCCAGTGATCACGGCCACTCGGCCGGCGAGACGACTTCCGACTACGTTCATGATTTAAAGGGATTGAAGCGGTATTTCGGATACACCGCACGTGCGAAAATGGACTTTTAGGCTATTGTACCAGTATGGGAGACCCAATTTACGAAGATATGGTACAGCTTTGGTCACTAAGGTGTCTCGTCACAATCTGCACATTCCTGTCACGGAAGGCTACTTCGAGCTGTCACTTCAAGTTGCCACTTCAAGTTGCCAACCGAAACGGATATGGTGTACGCCACTCCAGTGCATTTATCAGTGCAAAACAATTCAACTGCCCAAGCCAAGTTCATTACCATGCTGGCTCGCTATTCTCGACGCTTAACTCTCCAGCCAACAACCACCTCACGCGCACTACGATCCGATACTTTATCATCATCATCTCCATTAAAAGTGCTGATCATCGACGGTTACGCGCCTGAGGGCCGCGCTGACCTTGAAGCTGGCGGTGCCAGCACAGCCGGTCAACTCTACGTCGATCTGCTGAACAAGTCGGCACCTGCAGGTGTAAGTGTCACGTCAGATGTTGTGTTTCCTTCCGATAGCGACTTTCAGACTCCAGATCTATCTCAGGTGGGCTGTAAATACCGGTCTTATACTTTAGAATGGAGCTCTTGGGTGGAAATGTTAACCTGCACCTACTTTACAGTATCATGCCGTAGCGTGGACAGGCTGTTCGCTAACAATCCACAACGATAGAGACGAGCGCGTCACGAAGCAGATTGATTTTTCGAAAAAAGTCTTTGAAGAAGGTGAGTGAGAACAGTAGCAACTAGATTGATGAGATAAAAATGGTTTTTACATGTGCTGTTTTGTTTTTGTGTGCAGGTATTCCACAGTATGGTAGTTGTTGGGCGGCTCAGATTGCAGTTGCTGCTGCAGGAGGTTTTTGTGGACCGAATCCTCGAGGTCGCGAGATGGGTATTGCGCGTAAGATTAAACTGTCTCCGGAAGGCCGTGCACACGCAATGTTTGAGGGCAAGCCATCAGTCTTTGACGCCTTTACGAGTCATAATGACGAGGTGACCCACATGCCTCCTGGAGGACTCGCATTGGGTGGCAACAGTTTTACGACAGTGCAGGCAGTGGCAGTGCGCTATAAGAAGGGCGACTTTTGGGCCGTACAGTACCACCCAGAATACGATTTACACGAACTCGCACGGCTCACGTACTGCCGCCGAGCTAAACTCGTTGATTTGGGATTCTTTGCTGATATGAAGAGCGCTGACCAGTTTATTGATGATTTAGAAAATCTGCACATTGATCCGTCTCGATACGATATTGCGTGGCGCCTTGGACTGGATGCAGACGTCATGGATGAGAATATTCGCCACTGTGAGACGCGCAACTTCATCAAGTATCTTGCGCTTCCTTACAAAGCGGCGATAGGGGCCAAGTAAACGTCAATGAATGATCATTGCTCCGCCACAAGTGAATTGCATCGTCACGATTGTGTATTGAGCTCCTTCAGTGTCGCGCTATAAAATGAGCTACGCGGCCGCGAAGTTTTGCAAACAAGCCGTGGGTACTTGAACCGAAGCACACAGGTAGAAGTCACCACCTTTGGCAAGAATGTAGGCTTAGCCTCAGTATAGTAGTCGTTTGCATGGCCAGCTACTTTTTGCCCAGCACGCTGTGAATGATATGATAACGTCGTCCGTGATCGAGCGATCACATTCTTTCAGCAACACCAAGACATTAAAAGCAAGGTTTGTTCCTAAACCTTGTAATTGTTTTCTGCACGTTACTAGTAAATCGGGTTGCTGCGTTGTGAACTAAGTCATCGGCAAGACATGTTTCATCTTCATTGCCAAAATTCCATAAGAAAGCAGCGTATGCGGTACTGACGTTGCACCGACCCCTCAAATACCGAGAGAAATGGCAACGTGTTGGGCAGGCGACACGAGGCGGCATCGCTCCGTTATCTACAACTTACTACTGCTTGGCAACTTTCTTCTTGGCAGCTTTCTGCATCTTGACGGCCTGCACGTTCACCTTGATGTCACGAGTGAAAGGCAAGTAGGTGACGCCACCCATAAAAGGCACCAGCACCTCCGGGACCATGACACCGTTCTCGTCCTGGCAGTTTTCTAGAATGCAACAAACTGTACGGGTGGACGCGCAGAGCGTCGAGTTCAGCATGTGCACGTACTTCTTCTCGCGCTGGTTCTCCTTCTTGACGCCGCAACGAATCTCCATGGCACGTGATTGGAAGTCCGTGCAGTTCGAAGCAGACACCAGCTCACGGTACTCCTTGTAAGCAGGAAACCATGCCTCCAGATCGTACTTCTTCACAGCAGCGTTATTGAGTTCGCCTGACACAATGTTCACCACGCGGTACGGTAAGTTCAGCGACTGGTAGAACTCCTCAGCATGACGTAACATCTCCTCGTGCATAGCAGTGGAGCTTTCCGGGTCTGTGATGCAGAACTGCTCCATCTTGTCAAACTGGTGCACACGAAAAATGCCCCACGTGTCCTTGCCGTGCGAACCGGCTTCCTTGCGAAAGCACGTGGAGAAACCACCGTAGCGCAGCGGCAGCGAGCTCTCAGTGATCCATTCACCCTTGTGATAGGCGCAGATGGGCTGCTCAGACGTAGCGATGAGGTACTTCTCGTCCTCACCGATGACTTTGTACAATTGCTCATCGAAGTCGTCAAGCTGCGCGACGGCAGCCATGCCCTCCTTGTTCATAAAGAAAGGCGGCTTGAGCATCTTGTACTGAGCCTTCATAAGGAAAGCTGTGGCGTAGGCCATGAGCGCCTGCTCCAGCAAGAATCCGTAGCCCGTAAGAAAATAGGCGCGATGGCCAGCCACCTGAACACCACGCTCGGGCTCGTAGCCTTCAATGCGGTGGAGCACCTCATGATGAAAGTGCAGACCATCCTTCTGAATAGGAGTTCCCCACTTCTTGACCACCACATTGTCGTCTTCATTGTTTGAAATGGGCACCGTGGGATCCACGACGTTGCCAATTTTAGGCAGCTCCCGGTCCACGAGTTCTTTGAGCACCTCAGCCTCCTTCTTCTTCTCAGGAAGAAGAGCCGCCAACTCCTTGCGCTCGTCACTGAGCACTTTAAAGTCCTGTTTGGCCTTACTAAGTCTCTTAATCTCCTGCTGCAGCGCATTCATCTTCATGCTGACGGTCTCCACCTCGCCCTGCTTCTTTCGCCATTGCTCATCCAGCTCAATCACCTTGTTAACGATGTCCACATCCAGTGAGCGATTCTTCTGATCGGTGCGCACAGATTCTGGGTCACCGCCACGCTCGGGACGCAGACGATTGATGTCGATCGGCATCGAAGTTGACTGCTGCTTGGCTGCGAGGGTCCGTAACTTTTCTACGTAAGCGAATGAGGACCACGTACCTGAATGTTGCACGAAGGATCTGCATGTTGCACGATTTGAAACACTAAGATTTATAAAACGGAGCGCAAATTAGGCTTTAATTCATAGGCCACTTCAACAGGGTTAGCGATCACAGCATGGTGCCTCGCTGATGATGGTGCCGCTCCTGCGTGGCGGTAAAGCGGTCTACGACAATGTTTGCATTTGTAGCACCTTTCGTAAGAGTGGCTAAATACGAGACCAGCAGCGCGTCATTGTACTCTTGCGTGAACGCCGCGTTGAAGTGCTCCGACTTCATCACTGGAAGCTGGTTGCAAATGCTGGAAATGTGACGCAGTAAGTTGTGATCCAATGGCGCCTCACCATTCTTCGTAGCCTGAAGAAAGCGGATCAGCACATCCACCTGCCGATCCAGCATCTTCACAGCGTCTCGGACGTTTCCCAGATACGGATGCACTGCATGGAAGCGCAAACCGAAAACAAAAGTCATGGATGACTGGATACTCAGCAAATCTACATAGGCAAACACGCGCACGTACACGTCGATTTGCTGGCATCGCCAATGGGCGCAATCTTGGAAATGTGGTCAATGGCAATGCTCTCTGTCTCTGACGTCTCGATCTTCAACGGCGCCTTGACAAAAATCATTTTGGGCACGCCGTTCAGCATGTGTAGCTCCGACTCAAACAGCGAGATGGGCAGCTTTTTTTTTGTGCTCGGTCCTCTGGACTCTGGGTCCAAGATTAAAAATAGCGGGCTCTCATTGAACTCCATAATCTGTCAAACAGCACTCGTCGTCGGACCCTCAGAACAAGTTACCACGACTCAGCAAGCTCTTACCACGCGATGCACCGCCAAATCACTTGGAAGAGCCTTTGCACCGACTGTATACCAGCCCAACAGTTCAAATCCTGGAAATACCTGCGAAACTGCATCCACACGAAAGGATCATAAACAGCTAAAGGTCTATTTCAATCTCAATTTCCACGCACACTGCTGGATGCGCGAGGTGAGGAATTCCTTGTCGATCTGAATCTCGCCATTGACATAGTCATATTTCATTTCAAAGGAGTCGTAAACGGCCACGTCCAGTCCTTTCTGAATGCCGAACAGTGCACCGATGACTTGCGGCGCATCTGTCTGACTGAGCTGCGAGTTGCATTTCTGTCGCGTTTGATGGTCGGTGATATTCACGATCACTAGCGGATGAATCTGGATCTGTCGTTCACCTCCTCCAGCACCACTGTCCTCGCGCTGTACCAGCATCTCCTCATCCTTCTCATCAACGCTCGTCATCTCCGTGTCCTGCATCCTTGATCCTGTGAGATATAATCCTTTTGAAGAGCTGTGATTGGTGGGTGTGTACCTCAGACTTTTGGTAGGGATACTTTAAATGCCATACTTCTAGGATAGACCTTTTTATTACCCCGTATTGCCCATTTATTTCATAATTGGGTAGGTTATGAAGATGTGAGAAACATTTGAAGCCTCCTTTATATTATTCATACTGTCAAGTAGTACTATCATCCGTGCAATGAATATGCGTTCGATGAATATATTGCCGACGAGCGGTCTTATTAATATATTGCCCGCGAGTAGTAAGCAAGCAAAGCTTCGTGAATAGCAAGGAAAGAAACGGTAGGGCTTAGTCTGATATATTGTTTGCAAAACCGTGTTCTTACACGCCGACAGAATTGACGCAAACTTGCCTTTGTTGCAAGCGTTGTGATTGCATCACGTGTACCCATGTAAAGCTACTCACAACGGTTCTTCTGCTCCTCGAGACCAACATTGCTCTAAACTTGTAGCAACTTCATCGTCAGATGCTTGGAAAGTGCTTGGCACGACATTTGAAATAGACTACTAGAAAACTTGCCTTAAAAACGCCACGACAGCACAAGTCAACTTGTCGTTGCCGGTCGATTGGTTTGATCTAGAGCATTTCCATAATGACAAGCGTTGTCATTCGACGAATCAAGCTGCAACTGCATTGCCGCGACCTCAGCAGTGCATCGAACGCGGTGTTAGTTCTTGAGCTCTAGACAAAGCAGCTGAAGTCATGAAGACAAAGTACAAATATGCCATGGTCAAAGCTTTATTTCATTCAGATTTTTCATTGAAATGTATCAGACGTAACATTGCCGAAAGCGTAGTTTACCATTACTTTTGACTCGATTTCTTTCAGCGTAATCTTCCCATACAAAAACCTTAATTTGAAGCACATTCGTTTATTACCGGCAAATTGTGAACCATAAATTCATGGCGTCATCATCACCCGATGCTTCGTCTAGTCAAACAACATCCACCCGCTCCATTATAACTCTGGATGGCTATATCAGCTCTGGCAAAGCCCCAACGAGCTCCGAAGTACTCCGAGACCATGCCATGTTGCAGGATTTTGTAGCCTACTTAGAGCTGCGTCTCAAGTCCCAGAATTTGTCAATTCTGCGCCGCATCTTTGCTGATTTCCTCAATGAACACGAGTACACATTAATACCCATGATGCATCAAGGCTGTACTATTATCACTATCTTCCCCGTCGAGAGAACCAGTGCCCGACGACGGCGACAAGCCGAATTTCTGCTATCCAAGCCAAAATTCCACCTCAACTTCTCGCGCGGGTGTGTGTTTCTCTATCTGCAGTACCGTACAGCGACGCGAAACATGGCGTTGCTCAAGCATTTGTTCCTGGAGTTCATAGGCCAACGCGAGACGTCTTTGCTGGCTTTCGTGGAGCGAGGGTGTCAGGTGATCAGTGTGATCCCTTTTGAGCTACCGCGGATTACTCCACCTGCACGTCTGCTACCGCCTCAACTTGAGCAACGTGCATCGCCTTGCGCAGTCGAGAATGTGGCAGGACAGGAACAAGCTACTTCGGAAGTGGCCGGGGTGAAGAAGACCAAGAAGAATGAAGTTGCGGTGAGCAACACTAGGCAAAGGCAATCGTCGACAGCTCGAGCAGACGTTGCTGAGCAGCAACCTTCTGAACAGCGGCCTGAAGAAAGAAGAAGTCATAGCGCTGTAAAGACGAGTATCGAACCACCTGCCGCGGTCGTTCTCAACGGGTCTGAAATTGTCACCAGACGACGTCAGAAGCGTACTCTCGTCGCCTCCACTGCAGGTTCCACTTGCAGTAGAGATAATGAAGCCACTAATGTGCCTTTAACCTCGAATGACGCCGCAGTATTGACGCTAAAAGGTGGCAGAACAATTACGCCTGGCACTGTGTCGCCACAGCAACAACCAACTGCTGTTGAAGAGCAGGATGAGGGGAACGTACCGACAGAAGCTTCGACAACTGAAACTCTGCCAACGTTTATGCCTAACGAAACTTCGTCAACTGCGACACCAGGGAACGCCACTGGACGCCGAAGCAAGCATGCTGGCGTTGCCTCCACCAATGAATCTGGTGACAGCAAAGTTGATGAAACCATTAATGTGCCTTGGAATTCAAGTCCTACCGCTATATCGGCCCTACAACATGGTGAAACATTGACGTCAGGTGCTGTGCCACTACAACGAAAACCAACCGCTGTGGTAGATCAGAATGAGGGAAACGTACCGATTGAAGCTTTGGCATCTAAACGTATGCCGACAGAAGCTTCGCCAACCACAGCTTGGTCAAATGAGGCACTTGTGGATACTACCAAGTGCCACAACAAGCGGACTGGTGTCGCCTCCACCAATGAAGCTGCTAGTAACAAAGTCTGGCAGGACAAAAACGCTCCCACGGCTGGATCGACATCAAATTGCAGCAAAACGTCGAAGGCTAATTATGTGCTACCACGACACGATTTAGTTGCTGCGGCTGTGGGCCAGGCTGAAGTTATGTCAAATGATATTGTGCCAGCTTTATCTGGTGATTTGGCTATCGAAACTTCGTCAACTGAGGCTGTTACTAGCGAGCTTGAGATCAGCACGAATCGCCGACTCAAGTGTGTTGATGACGCCCAAAGCGACGAAGCCAATCGAGAGGGCAAAGTGACACTTTTCTTGAATCCTGCCGCCGAACTAACTCCAACGCAAGGCAGAAATCCGGAGGCTGGTGATGTGCCGCCACAACAACCTCCAGCTAGTGAACAGTGCGAAGCTTCGCCAGGTGTAGCTTCACCGACTAAAGCTCCACAAACTGAAGCGCCTACTGAAGTCTTATCGGATTCCCAGCCCAAGCGAAGAAGGGAGCGTGATAATGTGACTGACGAAAAGAGGTCGCGCAAAAGAGGCAAGCCTTTCATGACTGAAGAAATGTGCCGTAATCAATTGGATTTGACACGAAAGATAGGAATCCTTGAGGCACAGAGTCCCTGGAAGACGTCTCATGGCAATTTGCCAGCGCCGTTTGATGCTGAGAGGTACCCTGAGCTTGCGAGAAAGTTTTCTCGATTTTGGCGCAAACACGTGCATGCCGTGTGGGAGCGGAAGTTTTGGGCTCCTATGTCCCGCAAATTGTGCCTGCCCGCTTTCAACAAACGCAATAATCGTCAGCTAATGGCGAAAAACGCGTTCGAGCTGCTAATTGTGTCTGTATATGAAGAGTTTGGTGCGGCTTTTTTCGTTGAGATTGACGCGCTGAAAGAGCGACACCCAGGTTGGTGGTATCGGGGCCCCGTTGTTGCTTTGTTCGCCCTTCAGCAGATCAAGGGCGAGGATACAATGTGGGACTACGTTAATAATCAGGCTTTCCTGCGCTTTCCGGACTGCAATCTACCGATTCCACTGACGGCAGCCAACTCTGGCGCTGTGCGAATCGGGCACAAACGAGAGAGCGAGTCTATGTGGATGGTTAACCACCAGCTAACCGCAGGAATTCTTCACGAGATTGCTGCACTCAAGGCAGAGAAGCAAGCACATGAACAGGAATTGGCCAGCCAAATTACAACGATTGAACATGACCGCGATGTGGAAAATGAAACTGCGCTGGTGGAAGCGTTGGAACTGATGTGAGTACTGTCATGGAAATTTTTCAAAAGGATGTTGGATAAAGTAGGGTAATCGTTAATATGATTTTTCATCATGTAGGAAGATGGGTAAGAGTTAGTATTGCGTGCTAAATAAATAAAGGTGATGTCTAGAAAACGGCGGCGTTTACGTCGAAAGTGTTCGAAGCAGTGGCAAACGTCACTTTAAGCATCTCAGCGTTGATGTTCGTATGATTGAGCCTTCGTTCTTTGGCGACATCCCTGCTTTTTCAACGAATGGGAGCGGAAAAGGCTCGTGTTGTCAGCAGTATTGCATGTATTCATCAAGCTTCAGCCCCCCCCCCGTTGATGTCAAAAGAACACGGGGTGAGAAATTACTGAAGTCTAGAAGCATCGAGCAGCACAAGGCCGTAGCGGCGTAGCCGCACCATCATCGTGTGTCGCTTCGAAACAATGTACAAGCATTTTGTCGCTTACGAGGTGGGGAAGTATCAAAAATCGCGGTCCGTGTCCATCTTAATGCTGACCTGCCGGTTGTGCCTGTAACGGGCTAAAGGTTACACGGTTCGTTAAGTATCGAATACTTAACGGGCAGGCCTAGAAGGGTACGAGGTATCTTAGGCCTGCCACTTGGGCGTGGCACATCAATGTGACCCACCCTCTGAATGTTATAACCATGGATGGATTCATCTTCAATGGGGATGACGCCAGTTGGGACTGGGCGTCACGGTGATGCTTCAGACACACTTAAATTTACTATTTTACACTCACTGCGAACAAGAAGTCTGGTAACATCTTCCGTGACGCAGGTTGGTGCTTGCCTTCGAAGTTCGTTGCGCGGATCGCTCTAAGCGGCCGGCAACAGTTGGTAGTGCGCTTTAAGCGTCGACCGACACAGAAGGTCGGGCTGCAGCGAGGCGACTTGCTCTTACGTACACGTCCCGCCTTGGCTCACTTGACGAAGAACTCATCGATGTAATCGACTTGTTCCTTTGGCAACGGCCATTACAATACTTGATGCCAGGCTCCAGGTCAATTTCATGCCTGATGTCCCTATCGGCCGGTAGGCGGCTCGTTACTTCTGCTGGAAACACATCACGGCGTTTCCACAGAACATCATAGAACGGGCTTTCCTTCAAGGCATCCCAGCCTTGCGTAGCAAACCGTTTCTTCTTGTCGGTTTACAAGACGCTCTCGTCTATTGTGGACGACGAGCAACAGTCCACCACGTTCTCTTAACTGGTGCGACTATCTCGTGGATCTTTTCTTCCTTTAGAACGGACAGTAACAGATCCCACTTCATCTCCGAGAGATTTATTATTACTCGGCAGATGCCAAGAAAAGTTGATGCAACCCAACTGAGGATGGCTCCGGCATCTTGTCTTCGATGACCTAGAACAACTCGTTCGTAGGTCCGTTCTCTTGGACCGAGACTGATCCAAGGGTCACTCGTTTCGACGTGCCTTGATCGTCTTAATACGTCTGGTGCTTGTTGGTCGATTCACCACTCACCTTTGATCTGGAAGAAGGTGTCGTTGCTATATTAGCTAGCTCACTTCTTCCAACCGCACCAGGCTCATGGCTCTGTGCCGGTTCTTGTGACGTTTGACTTCCGGTCAGCCCACCATCAACTGCCATAGACTCTCGGCTCTGTGCAGGACCATCGCACGAATGACTACTTGTCATCGCCCCATTCGCTACATCAGTCTCCTCGAGCTGGGTAGAAATTTGTGTCATCTGACTTTCTGTTAGGACACTTCCAACTACTCCAGGCTCAACGGGCTGAGTATTACCGGGTGCCGATCGGCATAACGCCATCGCACCCTCGACTGTGTTTGACACAGCATCATTCACATAATCCTCTCGCAGGAGCACATCCTTTCCGGTGTCCTGTGTAGAGTTAGCGACTGTGCGTTTACGCCAGTCAATCCATGGTTGGTGTTTAGCCAACCAAGGCATGCTTAGGATGAGGTCATACGGACTCTACATAGCTACCACTGCAAACTTCTCTTTACATGAGAAGTCACTAAAGCTGAAAAGCGAGTTTAACTTGAACCCCCTTCGATCTAACGAGCGCGCCTTTCGCTAAGCTAACGGGCCGCCTCTTCTCGCTTGCCGTCCTGGCAAAACGACTCATAACTTGCCGTACTCTTTTTCAGAGCCGCGAGTTTTTACAAAATTCTGTGATGCGCCCGAATCAACGCGAAGGGTCATCACTTGGTCATAGCCTCTTACTCGAGTGCTACAGACCAAAAGGTTTACGATCCGACCTTTCGGTACCTCAGGGACTATGCTAACCATTTGTTCGATAACTCTGAACATAGGGGTAGCTTCAGAGCCCGAGAAAGTAGGGCATCCCGCCCCTACTGCGCTCACACATTTTACGACCCATCTTTGGTAGGTGCTGAACCCGTGCGTCGTGCACACTGTTTTATCGCGCCTCCCTTCGGGTAGGGAGCCTTCTTGCTGGTTGCCCTAGCACCAGAAGCAACTTTGGCATAGCAGGCCATCATATGGCCGCGCTTGCGACCACGTCTGCATTGCCTAACTCCATTAAAGTGGCATCCGACTTATCGGCCGACGGCTTATAATAAGCTGTCGCCGAGGCACTGTTGTAGGAATGCTCCTCAACCATGGCAATATCAATTGCCTCCTCCATCGTCTCTGGCACCTTTATAAAAAGGGCCTGACGTGATGGGACATGCCGTAGTCCGTTCATGAACGCAGGCACCTTAATGTGTTCCGGTATCGGACCCACATTTATGGCCGCAGACAGCAACGCATCTCCTGCACATACTCTTGCAATGATCTTTTCGCCTGTCGTGCTCCAAAGAAGTGCGCCTGAAGTAACACTTCATTGTTAGGCGGCTGGTACATGGCACGAATCTTTGACTTAAAGATCGTCCATGATGGAAACGCATCAGCGTTTGCCATAAGCGCAGAGTAAGCCCACTCTGACGCTTTGTGACGCAAATTTTACATGGCATCCTGGTGTCGTCTTCGATGAGCTGCACCATACCGCATTGCTTCACGGCTAAAAGCCATGTACAATCGTATGTGGGGCAGTCCCATCAAACTTCGGTGGGTACATCCGAATGGGCCTTGGCTGATTAGACCGTACAGAGAGAGTCTCAACCGTTCTGTTGAGCGCCTCATTCCGAGCTTGCTCACGCAAAAGCTCATCCTGAGTCTTCCTGATGGACTCATCCGTGGCTTGGATGTTTGCCTCGGACGCATTTCTACGCTGTCCGAGCACGAACGCCTCCAACTGAGTGACATGTTGCTCAGGAGGACAATTTAAGAGGTTGGCCAGAGCTTGTTCACCAAATCCCTGCACCAAATGCTTAGCCAACTTCCTATGGTATTGAGAAAGGTGAGGAAAGCCACCTCAATCCATATTGAAGGACATCCGTAGCCACACGCACGCTCAGAGAGACGGGTCGTTGGAAGGACTACTAGTGCTACCAAGTGTAGACGGGCGCTTCGATAAAGAAGCTTCCACGTACTACGAGGGCACATCATCAAGCAGTGCGAGGAAGCGGTTAGACCGTCTCACCTCCGCGTGCGGTGGTGGTTGTGTCGGTCGACGCTTAAAGCGCAATACCAACTGTTGCCGGCTGCTTAGAGCGATCCGCGCAACGAAGTTTGAAGACAAGAGCTACATTTAAGACACGAAGAAGATTATTTTAGCTTCTCGTGCGTAGTCCACAGTATTTAGCAAATGCAAGACTTACTTTTACTTAATATAAGATATCCAAATATCAATCCAACTACTAATTGGTAGAATATAAAGATCGAATACGTGTGGTAAAGTCGATTAGAGAATTTTGGCTAAGTCCATGGAATAATTTGTTTTTAAATCCGGAGCTGAGTTATCATGACTTTTGCTTCCTTCGACGGTTGGATCCCTAATATATAACGGCAGGAATCCCTTCTCATAACGGATGGTCCCTTTCCCATAACGGTCGAATCCCTTTCTCATAACGGTTGGGTCCCTGTCCCGCTGACGGTCAGCTCCCTGTCCACTACTAAATTACTTACTAAAATGACTAGTTTGGTGAGGCAAAGCCGATATTAATTATGGAAGATTGAATGAAAAAGTACCATTGATCCAAAATCGTTTATTTTACTTGTTCAATAAAATGAATGAAGAAGGGATCAATGGTATCGAAGACGATCATAATATGGATCGAAACATACTTAAGGTGAAGTTCATACATGGCATGGATCACATTTACAAATTATATTAAATTATCATGAAATAGATCATCGTTTGAATATACTTGATTCCAGTATCGGTTGATCTAATTGGATGGATTGAACTGGTACGGATTTTACTTGAATGTGGAATAGTGGAATTTCGCAAAGTGTGGATCGCGTCCTCAATTAATTGTAATGGACGAATTACAATTCGAGATACATATCGTATCGCTATCGAGTTTGGATAGCACCGCAATCTTAGTATTCAGGTGGATCCACGATCCATGATTCTATTATTTCATTATAAGGGAGCGAGGGAACATATGTTTATTAAGTGTAGATCGCGATCCAAGTTATGTGGACCACACATTGAGGATCGATCGCGATCTATTGTGCAGAAAACGCGATCTAGCTCCGAATCGCGATCCGAGTCATGACAGCGATTCAGTTCAATACCACGATCCGACTCAGAACCGCGATCCGATTCATAACCGCGATCCAGTTCAGAAATGCGATCCAACTCAGAACCGCGATCCAGTTTACAAGAATCACACATTATGGATCGACCGCGATCTTGAACTGATACGCGATCACCTACAGATCGCGATCCAAGAATAAGGCAAGATCGCCAGTGGATCGGGATGGTGAAGGTATCAATAGTGGACCATATATCGAGATCTGATTTTTCTGAAAGGACGACACCTGGTAATAGATCCTGGAATACAGGTAGGAAAAATCGTAGTTTTTGGTATTTGATTGGTTAACACTAAAAAAGTTCAATTTTGATTTTAATATTCGTGTCGACTTCTCTTTCGGGCTGGATTC